GCTCCTACCCACAGCCTGGCTCCCTGCACAGGGGCCACAGCAGGAGCCAACAGGACATCCTGTGCTGCCAGTTGCTCCCAGATGTGCCCCTGCCCTGTGCTGCCAGATGTGCCCCCATCTCCCACAGCTGGGTGTCCGAGGACAAGGTCCTATTCTCCACCACCAGCTGCTGCCAGATGTGCCTCCAGCCTCCCTCAATGGCTGCCCTTGCCCCGCACAGCTGGATGCCCCTTCCCCAAGGGCTGCCCTGTCCCTTTGGCCACAAGCACATCAGCCCACACTAGGCTGCCCGTGGGAAGGGTCTTGGCTCTGCTCCTGGGGGCCAGAGCCTTTGGGGGTCCCGTGGCCACCTGCCCCCCTGGGAGGGCAAGTCCCACCCGTGGTGCCCCCAACCTCAGCATTCCTGAGACAGGGCAGGCTCCACCCTGGCACTGCCCCCCACCACGGGGGCTGTTCCCTACCCTGGCACCCCCCCGTGGGCAGGGACACCTCCCAGCAGCCCAGGCTGCTCCAAGCCCCATCCAACCTGCCCTTCAACACCCCCAGGGATGGGGCAGCCACAGCTTCCCTGGGCAACCTGGGCCAGGGGCTCCCCACCCTCACAGCCCAGAATTTCTCCCTCCCATCTCAGCTCCAGCTCCCTCTGCCAGCTGGAAACCCTTCCCCCTGCTCCCATCCCTCCCTGCCCTTGTCCCAAGTCCCTCCCCAGCTTTCCTGGAGCCCCTTCAGGCACTGGGAGCTGCTCTCAGGTCTCCCTGGAGCCTTCTCTTCTCCAGGCTGAACACCCCAACTCTCCCAGCCTGGCTCCAGAGCTGCTCCAGCCCTCCCAGCATCTCCGGGGCCTCCTCTGGCCTCTCCAACAGCTCTTTGTCCTTCCTGTGCTGGGGACCCCAGAGGTGGCCCCAGCCCTGCAGGGGGGTCTCAGCAGAGCAGAGGGCTCCTGAGGAGGAACCAGCTCCAACTCCTCTGGGTGACACACTCAGGGTGAGGCTGGAGCTGCTGCTGCCCCACAGCCCCTGGGGGGTCAGGAGGCCTGGTCAGCAGTCGGGGCTGTGCTGCCCAGGGCAGCTCCTTGCCAGGCCCCTAGACCACTGTCCCCATCCCCTCTGTCCCCTCCCAGCCTGTCCCACTCGTGGCAGCGCCGCGTGCGTGTGCTGAGGTTCCCACGCCAGGACAGGCAGGTCCTGCCCTGGTGCTGCCCTCCCTGCTCGGCCTCAGGGCCACCCCGTGCCCAGCTCCTCTGGGCAGAGCCCCCACCTCCTGCAGGGCTGCTGGCACAGGGGACCCCCCCAGCCCAGGACCCCACACTTACCCTTCTTCCGAACCACTTCCTCCGACTCCGGCTTGCGGCTGACGGACACCACCTTCATCACCAGGTGGTTCCCCCCCTGCCGGATCCAGGACACCACCTGCTTGTGTCCCACCTTCACCACGTTGACACCATTCACCTGGGACACAAACAGGGAGAGCAGGGTCAGCGCTGAGGGCAGGGCTGGCAGATGTCAGGCCACAATACTGGGTGATTTTCCGTCTCTGCAGCTGTTTCTGCAGCCTGGGACATGGTCGTGTCCAATCTGTCCCTGGGGGGTGTCACCCACCAGTGACCACAACCTTCTGGAGAAGCTGAGGAACCTCTGACAGGCCAGAGCAAAGCCGTGCACCCTGGGCCTGCAGCCAGGGGCCAGGAGATGGACCTGACCACTCCAACTGGGCACTTCCTACTCATGCCAGGGCACTGGGCACCCCTGGGGCTCCCCAGCCATAGTGCAGGTCTGCAGGAGGACCTGGAGCAGTGGCAGGTAGAGGGACCAGCAGAGGGACAGGCAAGGAGCCACTGCCCTCCCAGCTCAGCCCTGTCCCCACCAGCAGCCCCCGTATGGTGCAGATGAAGACACTTCTTTGCTGCCCTGGCTGCCCACCCATTGACCCACCTCCCAGGGGTCTGCAGGACACCTGGTGAAGTTCAATCCTGGCCATGTTCAGCACCAGCATCACCTGATCCCTCCTTGGAGAACAAGCACTGGGCTGTGGTGGTAGGGCAGGAGGTCTCCAAGACACAAACCAAGGAATACACTGGGAAACACAAGTTCAGGCCTTGGGTGTCCACTGAGTAGCAACACCAGGGTCTCCATGAGGCACTTAGATACCCAGATGGACCCTCACTTGGAGTGCCAGAGGTTTGGGTGTGATGGTGGTGAGGATGACACAGCTCAGATGCTTCACTGCTGGATAAGCTGGTTTCAACCCTTGGGTTGTGGTTACCCACCCATGGGTGACTGGTTTCAGTCACCCCCTGTGTACAGAACTGGGTGTGTTGGCACCTTTTGGTGTCCACGCTCAGGGTGGGTTGTGCTCCAGGTCTGCTCCTGCTCTAGGGTGAGGCAAGGGGTGGTGGCAATCAAGGGACAAGTGACTGCATGGGCAATATTTTGCACCCAAAAGACAGGTCAGGGCAGCATTAGGTTGTCCATGCAGCACTGATCTTGTCACCCTCAGTTCCAGACCAGGAGCACTGTCACTCAGCTCCTGCACGACATCAGCCCCAGGTCTCAACAACCCCCAGATATGGAGAATTCAGCCTTTTCCCCGTGGGTTTGCCCTAAATGTTTAGTAATTCCAACACTTAAACCCTCTCCCCAACATGTTCCTATATTCCTACAAGAACTCAGTGCTCAGTCCCAGGCTCCTGTGCCCCCCTCCCTCAGGCTGGTCCCACCTCCCTCCCTCATGGTCCCCCCCATCCCAGCACCTGGGACCACAAGCACCACAGACCAAAAGGTGGAATTGCCCTGGGTGCTGGGAGCTTTGGCATTTCCAGAACGTTTGGGGTTTCTGTGCTTCAACAGCAGCTGGAGACCTGTTACCTTCAGAGCCAAGTCTGCTGTTTTCAAATAATGACTTTACTTCAAGTCTTCAATTATTCAGTTGATTCAATTTTGTTTATAATGGATTGAATAATTACTCAATTCTCAAGAAAACACACGTTTTTCTCAGGAAGTCTGATTTCAGTGACATTAGCAGCCTCCTCCAGCTAAATCACCTCCTCATCTCCTCTCTTGGCCCCCCTGGCTGGAAGGGGTTGGCTCTGGAGCTCAGTCCTCCTGCCTCTTCCCCTGATCCCAACCCACTGCAGCTGGTTATTTATATAGGGTGCAAGTCCCTGTTTTTCCAGAGGCAGGTGGCAGGGCAGGGCCCAGGGCCACGCGGGGTGTCCCAGCACCACAGCTCCCTGCACAGCTGGGTTGGATTTCAGGTTCATCCCCAGAACATGGATGAACTCCCCCAGCAGCACCAGGTCTGGAGCTGCGTCCTGGGGACACCCCGGAGCGCGGCGGTTCCTCCTGGATGGGTCCTTGCCCAGACCCAGCACCCAGCACCCACGGCAGGGGGTTGGGACTGGGTGACCTCTAAGGTCTCTTCCAACCCAAGCTCTCCCTGATAACTCCATGAGCTCCTCCCCTGCTGGATCCCACTCTGTGGGGTTTGCAGTGGTGACATCACAGGGCGCTGCCAACACCCATCACCATCACCAGACAAACCTGACACCCCACAGAACAGTGAAATCTGTTCTGTGAGGTTTATCTGCTGCTAATTGTATTAATTAACTCCTTATCCACTGCCCACAGCACCTGGTCATTTACTGTTGATGGCAACTGCCATCAGACTCACAGCTTTGGAGCCAACCAGATCATCCCTTTGCTCCTTCCAGATGCTCGGCCTGGACCTGGACCTGCCCCAGCCCCACAGACACCAACACAAATTAAACATTTACAAGGAAAATACTGAAAAATCACCACCTGGAAGATGCTGAGGGCTTCCCTCACCCATGGCATGGAAAGGGTTTCATCATCTGCATGTGATCCACCACCCTGCTCCTTCCAAACCAAGGAGAGAAACTGACAGAACCTGCCCCTGCTTCTGTTTCATTTTTAATCCTCCAAACCCATCCACCCCAGTGGGCAGCAGAGAAGTGGAGTGGGAGGTCTTGACTCTGAGGGCTGGAAAGAAGGACAGGGAGCTGTTGGAGAGACGCCAGAGGAGGCCACAGAGATGCAGGGAGGGCTGGAGCAGCTCTGGAGCCAGGCTGGGAGAGTTGGGGTGTTGAGCCTGGAGAAGAGAAGGCTCCAGGGAGACCTGAGAGCAGCTCCCAGTGCCTGAAGGGGCTCCAGGAAAGCTGGGGAGGGGCTTGGGACAAGGGCAGGGAGGGATGGGAGCAGGGGGAAGGGTTTCCAGCTGGCAGAGGGAGCTGGAGCTGAGATGGGAGGGAGAAATTCTGGGCTGTGAGGGTGGGGAGAGCCTGGCCCAGGTTGCCCAGGGAAGCTGTGGCTGCCCCATCCCTGGCAGTGTTGAAGGGCAGGTTGGATGGGGCTTGGAGCAGCCTGGGCTGCTGGGAGGTGTCCCTGCCCATGCAGGGGTGGGACTGAGTGGGCTTTGAGGTCCCTCCAACCCAAACCCTTTTATGACTCTGTGGTGAGAGGATGAGGCCACACACCCCTTGTCTTCACTGAGAGCACCAGCTCCTTGTGGTGTCTCTCCCTGGGTGATGAGGCAGCTCAAAACAAGTTGGGTTCCCACAGTGAGACAGGGCACCTGGGAGCCTCCTCAGGGGTGTGCAGTAAAGGTCTCTCAGCAACAGCCTCCAAGACCCATCCCACCTCCCCAGACATTGCTGTGGAGGTCACAGCAGAGCCAGGCAGGTGCTCAGCACCCAGGAGGCTGCAGCTCACCTGCCCTGCAGGGGAGGGTGTCCTGGAGAAAGGGGGAAAAGCAGCCAGAGGGCTGAAAATGCACTGGATGGATGTGACAAGCTGACCATGGGGGACACTGGCCTGGCAGGGGCTTCTGCTACACATGAATGTCTGGGTAAAAAACCACAATTTCTGAAAACCACAAAATCCTGATTCCCCCCCTCAACCTGCTGCTGCCTGAGAAGCAAGGACAGAACTTTGCAACTGTCAAGAGCTGCAGCTTCACCCATCCCAGCACAGCTCCTCTAGCAGCTGCTCCTGCTCAAAATACAAGGAGAAGCCCTTGTCTGATAAGCAGGTTAACTCAGTGAGAAGATGGTGTGAAGGTTTCAGCTCCTGTTCAGCTTCAAACTGTGCTGAGTCAACAGGGCATGATGAACCGTGTGAGCAGAGCTTGGGGGCCTGGCAGGGACAAGAGGAGCCTGGGGAGCTGATCCCCAGAGCAACCAGCTTGGGATGCTGCTGCCCCTGGGGAGGGGACACCTGGAATCCTGGGGTCAGGGCTGGGCCCCTCAGGACAAGAAGGACCTGGAGGGGCTGGAGCGTGTCCAGGGAAGGGCCCCGGAGCTGGGGAAGGGGCTGGAGCAGAAGGAGAAGGGGCTGGAGAACTTGTGAGGAGCAGCTGAGGGAGCTGGGGGTGTTGAGCCTGGAGCAAAGGAGGCTGAGGGGAGACCTGCTGGCTCTGCAGCTGCTGAGAGGAGGTTGGAGCCAGGGGGGTCGGGCTCTGCTCCCCAGGAACAAGGGACAGGACAAGAGGGAACGGCCTCAAGTTGTGCCAGGGGAGGTTGAGGTTGGATCTGGGGAACAATTCCTGCCTGGCAAGGGTTGTCAGGGTGGACTCAGGAGCAAAGCACTGAGACACGAATACAGCAACTTTCCAGTATCTGAAGGGGCCTACAAGAAAGCTGGGGTGGGGCTTTTTCCACCGGTGTGTAGTGAGAGGACAAGGGGCAATGGTTTGAAGCTTAAAGAGGGGAGATTCAGGTGGGACATGAGGAAAATGTTCTTCCCTGTGAGGGTGGTGAGACCCTGGCCCAGGCTGCCCAGGGAGGCTGTGGAAGCCCCATCCCTGGAAGTGTTCAAGACCAAGTTGGATGGGGCCTTGAGCAACCTGGTCTAGTGGGAGATGTCCCTGCCCATGCAGGGGGTTGGAACTAGATGATCTTTAAGGTCCCTTCCAACCCAACCCAGTCTGTGACTCCAGGAAAGGAGGAGCACAAGAGCAGAGCAGATCCCATCCTGTCTTTGGGCAGAGCCACAGGGAAGATCCCGGTGCACCCAGGGCTGCCTGGGGACAGGGTGACAAGGGGAACTGCCCAGGACACACAAACCAGCTTCTGATCCCTGTGAGCAGCAGGGATGGACCTTCAGGAGGTCCAGCAGCAGGAGTCCTGCCCATGGATGGGACACTCCAGAGCCACGGCCTCGGGCGGGGAGGAGCAGCCAAGCGGGGGGACCCTGACTGGTTTTGATCCAGCAATAAGGAAAAACTTCCAGTTTCTTGCCCACAGCTGCCTGGTGAGGATGCCCTGCTCCTGGAGAGAAGCCTTTTATAGAATCCTAGAATAATTTTGATTGGAAAAGACTTTGAAGATTATCAAGTCCAACTGTTTTGGCCTGGCAGAAGAGAACAGATAAAGAATGAAATGATGCCGAGTGTGTCTATGGAGCCTAAAAGAACATCCACAGGAATGTGGAGA